AACTCGAAAAGTTCATGTGGAAACAACCCAACCACCACCCCCTTTTTAAATTTTCCCCTTCCTACTCAAGAAGAAATTTTTTCGCAAAAACCACCCCTTTTCTCCGTTTTTTTCCATACCTGCCCAAAATTTAAAACCAAAAAAAGGGGGGGGGGGGGGGGGGGGGAACACGAACGAGTTGACTGCATCTTCGTATACAGTACTGGTTTCCGTGCATGTGCTTTGTGTTAGATGTGCGGCCGAATTTTGGAAGGCAATCAAAACCGAAATCTGCACACGCAAACATCGCAGTATGGGGAGTACTCCCCTGAATGCAAGTATAAGGCCCCACAGCTGTGTGCCGAACTCCAGAATAATAATAAATCGTAGTCGCCCTTCTCATCATCCCCTCATCAGTCATCTAAAATCGTGGGGCCGCCACCTGTCCCCCCTGGCAATTGACAATGCATGTGCCTGTGAAGGTTTGTGACCACCGCTGGGCTGGGGTTAGGTTGACTCCCGGTACTATACCACCGGCAAGTACAATGCTGAAATTGTGGCTCCTATGGCGATCGAGATCTGTAGCAATGAACGTCGTCGATTTTCCATGGATGTGGGCTTGAAAGAAATATCATTCCGGCATGGTACTTAGCAATTGTTCGGGTACGCGCGTCGGCCGTCCGCGTCACACGTTTTGCATGCATCACCCTCAATCGTCAAGGCGCTTTTGCGCCTGCTGCGCAAGAAACGCGCACTTTCGACAGCCGATCGGGCGGTGCCTGCAGTCGGCCCCTCCTGCCAGACAGTCAATTCAATTATTCTTTTTAGGGAACTTCCAACCCATTCCCACCTCTATTTCGTCAGAGGTCTCCCCAAAGAGTAGGCAATGTAACGTACAGGCATGCTGATCGCCGAGAAAACGACCTACCTCATCCCGTACGTTTTTAGACACAAGTAAATGCTGTTTTTAACTGCAGTATTGTTGATGGACATCCGAAAACTTCACCTCCGGTAAGGACAAGATCAAGGACTACACACACGAATGCAGGCACCAACAAAACATATTGGGCTCATTTCTGGGGCTCGATTACCCCTCCAGGAACTCAATACTCAGTAACACAATCACAAGACGAGAACCAATTCACAAGTCGTCCAGCCACCGAATCCATACACAACACCTGTCGATCCTCTTGTTGCATGCATACGCCGCCCATTGAAATTAAAACCACGCGATCTGTTTGTATATTTGTCAAGGGCCTTTTCGTTTCGGTCGTAGGCCCTACTTCACCACCAAGAGTGCATGAGAATACGCAAAAATATATTCATAAACATTGTGTTTTCTCTATTCAACTCCATTCGAGTTTCTATTTACGGCCCCACAAAAGCTGATCACCATCACCGAGTGCAGAGGATACCCCTCATATGCTAAAAAAATGCACCAAATTCTAAACTCCGAACTTATGGTCCTCTACGCACTGCCCACCTTCCCAACCTGTCCTTGCAGTCCCCATACCGTACACTCTACCCTGGCTGCAGCCAACATCTCTTCAGCGCCTCAGCTCTGCTAAGTTGATCGTCTCTGCTACATTGATTCCATATGTACATCATCTTGTGATACCCCACCGTCCAACAAGTCGAGATTAAAAGCCACCAGAAACACTAGCTGATCTCGGCACTGCCACACGCCAAGCTGGTGCCTCCTGTAGGCTAGTGTTGGGATGATGTTGTTCGTGGCTTGTTTTCATAGCAACAAGGTCGTTTCTTGTGAGGGAGGCAGGAAGGAGGGTCGGGCCAACATCCCACGGACATCAAGGAAGCAGAACTACTGAACACGGACGGGGAAACGTTGAAGCGGTTGCGAGGATCTCTCGCATCGACGCAAATAAGCAAACATCATACAGCAAGGAGCATCAGCGCAAAAGACCCCCGAACTGTTTCTGGTGGAAACAAACTACGGAGTACACCAGGACGAATCGGCCAAGAAGCAGCTGTCAAGGCATCGTTGATACGTGAAGAAGACGCCATAAATCTGCAGTCGACGCCGTTGCCTTTGTGCGCATAGGGATATTGAAACGTATCCCAACTTAAAACAATTCCGAAAACGCCGTAAGCTTAACATGGCTCTTTCTCCGCTACTCACGGAACAACCCGCCAGGGACAACGCGTTTTGTCCTCTCCGGACATGGCTATGAACCTCCACATGCATGGCTCCCCCACTTTCGATGCCCTGACGTGTACCCCGCTTCCGCTCGTGGGTTGCTTTTGCTCTCAAGATGTGCAAGACATTCGCCCTCCTCGGGGGAGAAGGAGGTCAACACTGGCGCGCGTCCTGCCAGTTGGTGGCTGATTGGGGGGCCTCTTGTCGTTGCGCGGGTTGTCGCTCCCACGGCGGCGCTTCTTCTGATCCTTCGAAGCCATCTACCGCCGCCGCTTGTCTCGTTCTGCCGGAGTGTCTCATTGGCACGACACGCGCGATCACTTTGGTAACGCCGGCCGCGCGTTCGGCCCCCCTCATGACCGACTTCTTGAAGGTACGAGGCTTGAGGTGGGGATCTTCTTGAGTGGCCGCAACGAAGCATAGCGGCCACAGTATGAGAAGAAGATCTGTCGGGGTGGAAACGAGCGGAAGGGGTCTGTGGCGGTCGAGACAACGTCGGCAACAGGTTCAATCGTTCCTAAAGCATAAGCGGTCGTTGCACGCCACGTGATTCGTCACAAAAGAATCTTCGCGAATCGCTAGGGCAAACGGTCTGTTCTCGTAGGCACACGGGCGGGGATGCCGCCACTACAGGGCGAAGCATGCGCTACAATTCGGCGGCTGTTTCACATGTACCGGTTCGTTTTGTCGCACTCACCCCAAAACCCGCCAATATTTCCAAACATCTCGGCGAATTCGTACGGGTTGGACTCTGTGATGATCTCCCAAGAGTCAGCCTGCTGCTTCATCTCCAGAGACACGTGGGCGTATGGCATTGTGATGTTTGGGTTCACCTGCATTGTTGGAGCATGATTGCGAACGAATGAGAAGGGCGGGGTGATAGAAACACCATCTTCCCACCAACAACACCAACCACACCCGACAGCGACAGCGACAACACAATCAATCAGCAAATGCCGTTCAGACGCACCGTATTCTTGTGAACTCCAAAATTCGTAAACAGCGCCTTGTACGATGAGATGTCATCCGACATGAACTTGTTCTGGTTGGTAAGCCCAATGCCCTGACACGCGTGCAGCACAAGCAAGCGAAGCACGTGCACAAATACAGAACGGTGAGACAAAACATGGTGACTTGGTGGGAAAACAGCTTCTCCTACACACACTAGCTCGTTAGTCAGAGAAACAACACTAAAGCTACACCTCGAAATATTTCAACGTGTTGGGAGATTCTTCATGTGGAAAGTTGATTTTGTCTTTCAATGGTGATGGTGAACGAATGTATAAATTTGAAAACAGTTGGTTGGTCCGGTGCGATCGCTTCCTAAGTAGATTGAATGTATTGTGGAGACGTAAGTCGCGGCTAACCATATACACGCTGAAACTCCCCCAACGTCACCAAACATCAAGACTTTCTCGTCCCCGGACAACAGTTAGACGAATTGTTGCTCACGAGCGTGTTGAAGATGTGGGTGTTCGAGGTATTCGTGATACAGCTGTAGGACAACGGAAATCCTGTTGAGATCGCTGTGGGGTCCTCGGGGTCGCTCAGGAAGCCATAAACCCACTCCCTGCCGGAAGACGGGGGGCGAGAAATGCGTGAAGTAGTGGACAGCGGCGGTTACGCTTGAAAGTAGCTTCTGTTACTTGAAACTAGTTTCTGTCAGGCCCTTCAAACGCACCGTGAGGGACACACCTCCTTGAGGTTCACCTGCAGGTAAAGGAAGGGGTCCATCCTCAGTACCAGTCGAAATAACAGGCAAACCGTCCACAGAACAAGGGTACAGGTACAATATTTGTGTGAACAGCGCAATTAGGGGAAAATCACAACAACTGCAGCAACGACAACAGCAACAACAGCTGCGAACCACGTGTCTTCACCTGTGGTCCGCCCACTCTACCCCTTCCGCGACGCAGGTCGTAGAGTTACCAAATTTGCCGCCCGGGTACCAGTACATCTGTTTAGCGGAAGGCATGCGGTTGTCGGGGTGATACAGTCGGGATAGCGGTACGAACGTTGGCTCCGATAACAATTCCCAACCCATTTGGCCTAAGAGAGCCGTTCTCGACCTTTCCTACTTGCACCAGGGCGACGTTGTTGCTTCCATGCATCGCCCGTAAAACAGCCAGCTGTTGAGACTATCGGCGATTGTCAATCTTGGCCCACGAGAATTTGACGCGCTCTCGGCCGGTGTTATATTCGCCCCAGCAGATGGTTGCGTGTCCCTGAAACATACGGGGTGGTGCAACCCCTCAATGTGAAACCCAAACTTAGGATATAGGCTTGGCAAGGAGACAAATTTTGAATACAAAACGTTATGTCGGGAACCGCCACGCACTCTAGGCACGGCAAGTCATTTGGGTCACGTGGTGGGCGTTCAACATAGTTTGGGTTCCGAAGGATAACAAATAAGAGGTCCAGAGTCGTGGGGCTGCTGGTACTGACAGACGTATTGCTCTAGGTGCGCGGGGACAAAACCTGAATACCTCGCCATGATGTGTAAACATGAACGCTAAGGCGTCGTGGAACGCACAGTACCGTCCTTTGGTGCTCACGTCTAAATGGATGTAATCCAGGTACTCGTGGGAATCTCGCTCTTGTCCAACAAAGTCAGTAGCAGCCGATGTCTCGAAGATCACGCAGTGACCTCTCCCCTACGAATCACACAAAGACAGGATCGGATCCAGAAGGACCGTAGAAGAGTCGCACACAGCCGGAAGGTTAGATATTCGGATGCGAGGACCTCTCGCGGTGATGGCTCACGGGCGTTCGCTACATGGTGGATAGGCAACCATTGGGTCTCCTTGAAGCTCACTCCTGTGGGCCTTAAAGTACGGCGGAGAACGGCTGGCATTGGAGACAGTACTGCATGCATGATGGCTCCATGAAGCTCATTCTTGCGGGCTTGAACGTGCGGCAGAGAGCGGCTAGCACTGTAGGCCACTACGACAGGTTGGATTGAATGGCGATGGTGAGCTCGCACGGGGAGGCGGCAAGGCGGACGTATCACGATTGAGCACACACGAGGTTGTAAAGTTTCGAGCTTGTTTCTTGGGTTTTATGTACCGATTTCGGGCTATCCTCGAGTTTGTGAGGGACTACAGTACCGTGAACCAAGCAAAGGAGCACGCAACGGTGTCCGTCATGTCCGTCATGTGTCCCACCAAAACATGCTTCGGTACGGTATCGCGGGTAGCCTCTCCTACTGTACGGACTCAGTCTACCCGGGTTTGTCGTCGAAGAAAATGCAACGACGTACCAACACCGTCTGGTCCGACTGGTAGCTCCATTGCTCCGAGTGTGCTAACACTGAACGATGTTGCTCCAAGAGCGGTCGACGAAATGTTCGACCCTGACACTCTTCTTGCCGTGAAGATATCGGTTATGGAATCTGTGCAGTGTATCTTTCGACATGTAATGAGGCATGTTACCCACCTGCACCTTTAGTTCATGGTGGTTTCATGTGAATGGCGCACGGGCAACACCACCGTACATTCCAAGGCAGCGACGCAAGTCTTCATGGGAAACGTCGCCCCGAAAATGACCAAGAAGTACAACAAAATTCAGGAACCAAGGGAGGATTCGAGGCTCACGTTTTCTTGCTCGTTCCCCTCGCTGTCGAAATTGGTCAAATCAGGGATAGCATTGATTTGTCGCTCCTCGGTTGTTACTTGATGGAGCTGGTCCAATTTGACTCTGGGGTAGAACACCGCGTCCGGTTTGCCCCCTTCGGTCATCCACGCAGAATCCACGCACTCCTCCTCGAGCTCCCACTCGTCGCAGCCGTAGTTCACGTACGGGCAAATCCAGAGGTCGGGGTACTTGTATACGACGTTCTGAAAATTGAACAGGTTCAAACGACAACAAAACATATTGGGTCAGTCGCGCTTGCTTGGCGTAACCTTAGCGTGTCAACGGGCGAGCAATCGCCTGCCGTGCACAAGCGCTGGGAATTTGGCGGTGTGACGTTTTGATCTCACCATGCAGCGGTATATCTAGCCCATAAAGTTGTCTCGTCGGAGTTACCATGCGCGCCCTCTCGAACGACCACCAATACCCTTATTTCCCACCCACCAAGGACACCGCGAGCGGCACATATCACCCACCACCAGTTTCTGTCACTTTGTTGTAAGAAGGAACCCTTGCAGTAGCTGATTCTCGGCATCCATCTCTCGCCAACCTATCCTTGCCGGCAACAAGATCTAACAACGTTGGTGGAAAAGCGGTAGCACTACAAGAGCGGCGTTTCTGCATGGCTATGGCACTAGGTTGGCGATTGCTCTCAGATATTGAAGCCAGTCCAGGTTGAAAGATAAGGACACCCGGCTCACCGTCAATGCGAAAGACGTGTCGGGTGCCTTCGCCTTCTCTGCTGCTTTGTAGAACAGCCAGCCGGAATCTGCGAAAGCAAGACCGAAACGAACCCATTGCAAGGGGTGACGTGCGTGATGCGATTCCATCAAGAAACTGTACTGCAGAAGTAGTTGCAGCAGCAGTAGGTGGTATGGAGAACATAGAGCGTTGCCAATAGGCATGATCACCCCGGGGTGGGGTTCGCGCGCGAAGTCCTTGCTCCAATGACCGTGTCGTGGAGACGGAAGAATGTCAGGTATCGAGAAATACTGCATCAATATTCGCAGCAAAGTGCACAGGCACTTCGAACCTCATGGTGGTCGTGTCTTGCATTTCATTACCGTTGGCTGTGCTACGGAAGGCCTTGGGAACCGCTCAAGTTCGATTGTGCCGGAGTATGGCGCTTTTTCTGTATTCTACTCTCTAAAGCCTCCAGCGAGGGGGGGTGTCGGGAACATTTGTCACCACAAAATATCATTTTGGCGCCGTCGTGAACGGAATATACTACTGTCGACTCGCTATGCGCGGCGCTCCATAGACTGCCTATCACCCTGAATTATTTACGTCCATCTAGGTACGGTCCTGTCGATCGCTCACATGCAATGATGCCGACCACCGACACAATCCAAACCATGACCGCCCGACGTCTGTGCGATGCCTGCACCTGGCTCGGTTTCCTGCGATCAGTGTCAAAACCCAAACGGTACACCAACATCAGCGGCAGAAGGGAAGTCGTGCAGGACACAAGCGATGATTCGCCGGCCCAGCTTGTATTGTTCCCGTTGCGGGCGAAGTGTAAACGGCAAACGGTCGCCAGTGACTTCGCTGCGAACATCGGCCAGTAGACTCGACAAGGTGAAAAATCAGCAACTGATGTAACTACAGAAGGGAGTGGGACAGACTGCGTCCTGACCTTTCCGGGGACTGCTGCTGTACCTTATCTACAGTATCTACACTGCGTCTAAGAACAGGTTTGAGGCTCGTGTTAAAAAGCACAGGCGGGCGGGAAGCCGCAGCAACCTTGCTTTTCTGTTCGTCCACATGGGCCGGTCTCCACAAAGGAGGAATGATGTGCACGTAGCCATGTACGTAATTCGCGAATGATATTTTAGAGAATGCCCACACGGCGTACTGTCATCACTGAAAGACTGCCCGATGGTGCAAAGACTGCCCGATGGTGCGCACACACACACCGACCCGACCCGAGCAGGCACTCCGGGCGTGGGCCGTGGTGGCGAAAGTGGCCACGAAGGCGGCAGCGATGCCTAGGTGAACCGTGCTATTGTGGGTAGCGTGCCTGCGTGGAGTCACTCCTGCCGCCTCATGTATGCATGTCACCTGGATACTACAGTATCAATGCATACGTCCGCTCGCAAGAGAAGCGACCTGCAACCAACAGCAGAGCAATGAACAGCGCGCCAGCCAGCGACACGGACACTCACCACATTCTCTCACTCTTGTTAACATTCAATGAGAGAAGGAAATGAAGGCGGCTGTTGCTTCCTCCCCGATACTCGCTTGTAGCGGGTGTGTGGCGCAACAGATGAGATGGCAGCCGGGTGTTTACTGCACCTGTGTGCGTGTGCATCGGCATGCGTTCCGACATGTGAAGAACCTTCCTCTCTGGAAATTGTTTATCCGTTTCTTCTGGACGTCGGGCTCCTTTAGATTTACGGAACAAAAAACCATTGTGAAGTGTGGACGCGCCAGATCCTCTATTATTATTTTTTGCTTTCTCTTTTCCAATATTATTTTTTTTCATCCGTTCTGCAGCACAGCACTACGCGCGTCGGGCTTTACACCCTTCGGTACAGTTTCAGGACGCCACCTTGGAGTTTTTTTCTCCGCCATCTTGGTTGCTTTGTTCTAAGGTAAACGTACCAGGTATGTAGTTTTCATCGCGAGAAGGATCCAGCCGTTCCTCTTCCTTCGACCGTGAAGTGGAAGTGCAGGCGTTGTTGCACGGACAATCGGGGATAAAGAGCAACGAACAACGAACGGTTCAAGCGACGGTTCCCCCGCACCCAGAACCAATTTATTAAGGAATAAATAATAACACACACACAAAGACTACCCATTCGAGATATACCCACAGTCGAACGGGATGTGGTGTACTCACAGTCACAGTTAGCCTATGACCACGGGAATCGACCCCGTCAAGTGTTAGACTACAGTAGAAAAGGTATTGAGTAGAGAGATCAACAACAATACCAACAACAACATGGTGGCCGAACGGTAAGGTGTGGCCGAAATAGCCGAACACCGATTCAACGAGTCAACTGCCTAGAAGGCAACCGGCGCCATGAGCCACAATCAATCCCGACGCTACACGCACGCGTCACACCAACCAAGAACGAACCAAGAACCAGCAAGGATTTCATCAGCATCAGCCATCAGACCGACTGACTACTGCTGTACAGGAACATCAGACTGACTGACTGGCGACTGTGGGCAGTCTCCCTCTGGTATGCATACGCTGTTATTTTACCGCAAAATAACCCACGACACATCATCACCAACAAAAAGTCGTGTTTTTACAGATATAGCCTAGACAGCGCCCTTGGCAGTTAAACTCCATGCTCAACATCCATTAAACATAGACTAGAGTATATTCTGTGTGCTACGTACACATACAGACATGTACATGTAGCGGCCATTTGTAGCCCACACGAGGAACTGTACAAGTAACCCCAGCCTATGTACTACAGTAGGTCAAAACTAGACTAGTACAGTAGACGGCTAGACTATCTGAATATCTGTACAAACCAGTATAACTGACGCAGTCGAGGTTGTTCTCTATCGCTGCGTGCGTGATGTGCGTCGTACTACTGTACATGTAATTTCAACCAAAGGGTGCAGCACCGCTAGCCCAACATCTCTCAACCCTTATCTTCCCCTACTACTGTAGTTCGCCCGTCACTCGGAAGGGGAAAATACCTCATTTTCCGTACCGATTTAGCAGCAGCGCGAACCCCCCGTGTTGTATGTAGGCGGATGTCGGAATCTTGGCACCCCCGCGGTTTTACCTCTAGTATGCTTGGTACAGCAGTAGACTAGTACCTGGTTCGCTTCCTTTGAGTTTGTACCGACCCATGCGTTGATATTGCGCCGAAGAGCTGTAGACTGCTCCGACTATTCTCGCGTGTCGGGCGCGAGTGTACCATATAGACCTTCTAGCGGCGTCGAGCGTGCCTTGGTAGGTGACGATGAGTCTCCACGGATACTTTCGCCTCGAGAGGCTACTGTTAGAAACATCTAAACAACAAGAGCCCATCGCGTGGTCACCCAATCTCCCACACTACTGACAGTACTGCTAACTGCACATGGTCACTTCATGGGCCGCCCATGGACTGCCCATGGACTGCCCATGGACTGCCCATGGGTGACCCGTGGGCAGTCCATGAAGTGACCATGAAGTGCCCACCATATCAACCTAGAACTTAGCCACCAGCGCCAACCTCGCACGTATCGTGTGGGCTTGGGGTTAGGGTTAAGGATGGCGTAAGGGTTATTAGCCGCTACAATGCCCGTTCCGAAGCAGATTATCTATTGCTTAGGAGTACGCTGGTTCCGGTTGAAGGGCTCTCGTTGGCCGCCCATGGGCTTCCCATGGGTTGCCCATGGGCCGCCCATGGGCCGCACACGGGCTACCCACGGGCATGCCCAACTGTCTACCATGGGCAACAAAGTGCCCATGGGGCGCTTTAGCAAAACTATAAAAAGTATCTTTATTGTAGCCGGCCCCTTTCGGAAGCAGTCCTTAGCAACATTACCTCCCGGCCGTTCGGTACACACAACAGCGCAGCACGGGGCGTGCTCCGCTCAATGCAAGCATTTGTAGCCCGTTCAGCTGCGTACCGAATACCACAACCACATGCAGGGTCGCCCTTCTCAGCTATAATCTTGGGGCCGCCACCTGCCCCCCCTGACAACTGGTAATGAACATGCCGGTGGAGATTTGTGGCGGCCGCGGGGCCTGGACGATGTTGGCTCGCGGTACCAGACCATCAAGCTAAATGTATCTACCAGCATGCCTAATGCGTTGATATTGCGCCCCCAAAGCTGAAAATTTGTACCTTGCCTCACCCGACACAAAACCAACCCAATACATGTGGAGAACGTTTTGATGGTTTATCCTGTGGCCAGGACCTTCTCGCGGTGAATTTTCCAACAAAGGACAGCCTCAACCTGGTAGGTGCTAAACGCTGACGCCACCATCGAATCATCCTCTCTCACGAACCCCACCCCGCTTCCCGTCAACCCTGAACCAGGATTGGCAACATCTTGATTCCCCATCCGGATTGACTCTCCCTGTACGCTCCTCTTTCGTGCAATTCCCACCGCTCTCCACGCTCTCCGCGCACCCGCTTTCGCTGTACGTCCACGGCAGCAGCAGCAGCAGCAGTAGATCACATCTCGGGCGCGAGGGGGAGAGCCTTCTCAGGTCTCTCAAGACCGCCACGACCCGCACAACCAACGGGTTGACACGAGGGGTGAACGTCGCGGGGACGGCGGCGTCGGTGGGTGTGGGATGAGTTTTCAAGCTGGCAGGAGATATTGCGGCTCCTACAGGATGGCGATCGGGGTCGGTGGACTTAGTGCTGTCGTTGATTTCCGGTGGATGTGTTGGCTTCAAAGTTCAAAGAAGCATCTTTCGCGTATGATATGTTGTCATTTGTTCGGATACGCACGTCGTCCTTGTCGAGAGTACACAGGAAGCACGGAAACACCTGCTTTCGTCACTCACGCATGCCCCTTCGATCGCCGAGGGCGCCCGTGTTTACTGTACGCAAGCAAGGAGCACTTTCAACTGCCAATCGGACGGTGCCTGCCGTCGGCCACTTGTCCTGAATCCCTGCAAGACAGTCACCTCAGTTGTTCTCTTCGGAAACGTTCTCTCGTTTCCCACACCACCGTCGCGTCAAAGTCTTCCCCTTTTTGTAGGCTAGTGGAACGTAGAGGCTGGCTGGCGGCAGAGAAAACAACCAACCGGTAACTCCGTCATCCCGTACGCATTCAGGCAAAAATGGTATCCAACAATTCTTGCTAGGCATCGAAAGACATCAATTCGGTAAAGGACGAGATCGAGAACTACCACTACGAAAAAACAAACAGAATTGTACTGGGGCACCATACAAGGAAGCACTATGAATATCTTCACACAAAACATGACAAGAGCAGGTTGCATGACAACCAATGCAACAACCAACTTTGTACCGGTCGACTATTTCTCAAGCTCGCTGTCCTGTCGAGAAACTACAGTTTTATGAACTCCACAGGAACACAGCCGCCAACACCTCTTCGCCGCCCCGTGCCGCTGAATGAGTGCCATATGTATACAAAATACACCGCACCGTGTGGTACCCCCCTCCAACAAGTCCAGACTCAAATCCGAAGAAGCCTTACTCACCACGCGGCGAGACACTGGAGCTGATGCCTGCTCTTCGTAATACGCTCCCCGGGCGCGAGGGTGGGTCGATGTTAATCGTGGATAAAACGAAATCCACCTCACAATTTCGAGAAAAGCACTAACCTTAAACATGAACCTCCCCGCTACTCGTGGTACCACCACCCAGGACTATTCGCCTTACATTGACGGCTCCCCCGCTTTCGATGCCCCGACTTTTTCACTTTTCCCGCTCGTGGGGTGCGTTCGTCCTGAAGATGTGAAAGGCATTCGCCCTCGTTCAAACGCGGCGCGCTTCCTGCCAGTTGGTGGCTGACTGGGGGGGCTGTTGCCGTTGCGCGGGTTGTCGATCCCACGCGGGTACTACTTCTTGGCCTTCGAAGCCATCTACCGCGGAAGCATGGCTCTTTGAGCTGGAGTGTCTGATCGGTGCCACACGCGCGACCACTTTGGTAACACCCGCCGCGCGTTCGGCCCCCCTGATGACCGACTTCGTGAAGCTTCGAGGTTTGAGGTGGGGATCTTGTTGAGTGGCCGCGACAAAGCATAACGGCCACAGTATGAGTAGAAGATCTGTGGGCGTGGGAGCGAGCGGAAGGGGTTTGTGGCAACCGAGACAAAGTTGAACAAATCTATGAGCTACAACGGTCGGTACACGCCACGTGATTCATTACCAAGAGTTCTCGCGAGTCGCTAGAGTACAAGGTCTGTTCTCCCAGTTCAAGCACAAAGGCGGGGATGCAACCACGCTTGATGAAGAGTATGCGACATCAATTTAGATGTCAGTTTGTTTGCTTGTGGTAATGTAGGGTAGAGTTGCGGCAGTTTTCAAAGTCGTAAATGAGCGGTCTCGAAAAGTGTAGGTTCACGTGTAACGTGTAGGAAGAGAACCGCGGCTTGACTTCGACGATGTCATACGGATGCCTCCTTGAGGTCAGTACTGGCAAATTAATAGCTGTGGGTCGTGTGTTTTCCAATGATGCATTGGAGAGAGAAACACGGCTAGCCTTCGACGATGTCATACGGCTGCCTCGTTGAGG